CACAACAATGAACCAGCTCACAGACATAAGAAATAAATCTGTAGAAAGCTTGAAATGTCTACTATTAAACGAACCAATTCAAACAAAAAAACAAATCTTCTCAAAGTATGTATTCTGTATGAAAGGTGCATTTCTCTATTAAAGGCACATCCATTACTGTGGAGATGGAGAGTCAGCACCTGTGTTTGACTGACACTGACTGAGAAAGCACTAATTTAGTAATAAATAATTAAAATGTCTTTTTCCCAGACGCATTCATAATCATTACTTTTTCTGGTGTTTGCAGTAAGCTTTATGCACGCGCTTGAGCGCGGAATATAGGCTATAATAGCCTACGCCTAAATGCATATTGAAAGATGATTTAGTAGGTTATTATATTAAAAAAATTAATATAAACGTGCGACTAGTTGACTAGAAAAATCCTTAGTCAGGGGCAGGCCTACTTGGCACAAGGAACCGATCCATTTTTTTAAATAAAATGCTAAAACATTACGGAATGTGCAACTGTAAATCACATCACGTTGTACTGCATTGCACAAGTTATGCATGTGTAATGAGTCAAATGTTTGTATTTTATTTAATCTTAAACTTAATGTATGGGGGTGCTATGGGGGTGCTGGAGCACCTGCTAGCCCCTTCCTAGCGCCGCCCATGGTGGCACATAAGAGAATATGACATGTATGTCTCTATGGAAGCATATGGGTTGCAAAATCCATTTTGAGATGTAATATGCAAAATGACAATGCAATATGTAAAATGGCAATGTATTTCTGTATTTAAATTTACATTTTCACATATCATATGTGCAACATTTAGTGCAAAATGAAAATGAAAATTCAATTATATAATTTACATTTGCCATTTTCTACACTAGTTTTAATATGTAAATTAAAAACATATTTTAACGCTTTATAAGTTGCAAAATTAAAATGAAATTGTAGTACCCAAATTGATTAGATATGTTTAATATGTCCAAGCAAAAACTGTAGCAAAATTATCATTTAAATGCCATTTTTCCTAAATGCATTTAGAATTATGGGTAGGACACTTGAGATGAGCATTTTCATCATGATACCTCGTGATAATTGTAGCAAAATGCAGTGTGAATTTCAAAATGCAATTTGAGCCAAATGTGCAGCAAAATGGTTGCAAAAATGGTGATTTAAATGTCTTTTATTTTTCTTAAATGCATTGACACTTACACAAGACGTTTCAATTGCATTTTCATTAAATACCCTGCGATCAGTGTAGACTAGTGAATGTGGATTTGAAAATGCATTCTGAGCCGATCATGCCCCCAGCCTGTCAATCATTATATCCAGGTGGGCCTGGTGAGCCGTTTTTTTTTTTTTTTTACAGACTGGCCCATTGGTTTGTCATCTATATGGACAGCATAAACTGTCCATGGTCAATAACAATGAACCATAGACAGAGCAATGAAGTATCTGAAACCATTTAGTTCAACCTGTAATACAGTGAATAGGCTAGATCACTGTTGAAGCGTATTAGCTGTTGAAATGGATTTACTTATTGTAGAATTAACTAAAGTTTTCATGTGCATTGTAATGTTTGTGTATGCCTTAACAAATTTTAGATTTTAAAACAAGCATTTTATTCATAAATCCATATGACTTTACCTTTACGCTGTGGAAATATGAAGGGAAGACAGAAGACAGCAAACGCAGCGCTGAAAAGGCGCAGGGCTACATAAAGTCTATAAAGAGTTACATATTGCACTTTTATGAATGTGTATTATAAGTGAGGTTAATAATGTATCCTACATATATTATTAACCCCTTAAGTGTCACCAGCCCACTGATATTTGGCTAGTGAGTTATTTGTGATATATTGAGGGAAGTTTCACCAAGCCCCATGTTGGGAACCTTGCCTGAGACTATTGGGGAATTATTATTATTATTATTATTATTATATTATATTTAAAATCATATTCCATTCAAATCTTTTTGCAGCATTTGCTCTCTCTCTCTCTCTCCCTCTCTCTCTCTCTCTCTCTCTCTCTCTCTCCCTCTCTCTAAATAAATAAAACTTGTAATTGTTTATTGGGAAATACTGACTAACTTCCTTATATGGTATTTTGTTTAAAGTTAGTGGTGTTGTTAAATACAGATTTTGACTTTTATTTCCATTGCTCTATATCAGTTAGAGGTTATTGTTTGGTATTAAAAGGGTGTTCCCATAATTGGTTGAGAGACACATAATAAAATAACCTGTTTGTTCATCCTAAAGAGCTCCAGAAAAGCAGCTAGTATGTTCTTTTCTAAAGGACATAGTGTTGATATAAAACAAGTTATTTTCATTTCAGGAGAGAGATTACAGGTTATTTCGGAATATAAATACTTAGGGGTTCATTTGGACTCATGTCTTGGTTTTAAAACGCATATAAAAAGGTATGTAAATAGGTAAAATTTAATTCATTTAATTTTCGGTATATTAGAAACTCTGAGGCAGCAAATGTAGATTTTCATTCTATGAATCTTTCTCATATTACTTATTGTCTGACAAGTTCGTCTAATACACATTCTATAGTTCTAAAACCATTGGAATTATTGTACAAACAAGCACTATACGTATAACCTGCTTAGTTGGGAAAACATCAAGTTTAAAAATGTTTGTTTAGTTTATAAGATTATGCATGTTTTGGCTCCTCCTCCTCTGGTTGACTTTATTAAATTTAAATATATTGAAAACAGAGTAACTAGAGGTGCAGCTAAAGCTGATTGCATAATTCTACGTAGGAAAACCTTGTTTGGTCAAGCTGTTTTTTTTCTTTCACAGCATCACATCAGTGGAATCCAATACCACAATCAATTAGAGAATGTACATCATTTAACTAATTTAAGCATAATTTTAAGAAATGGCTTCTTCATAACCAACGTGAACATTAATGTTGTTTATTTATCTTGATAAGCTGATTTTTATATTTATTTTTTAGTACTTATTTCTTTATTTTGTATTGTCATTTTGTATACTTTGTTGTTTAAATTTATTTTAGAGAATTATTTATATTTTTTGGCTGAATTTCATTATTGTTTTTCTATTTAGTTTTTTTCTTTCTCTAGTTTTTTGGCCTCATAACATCTGGCAAAGGGACTACAAATTAAAACTAGCCGTCCGGCTAATTTGGGTAAATTTACATTCATAAATGTTGATTAATGTACACTGTCCCTTTTTTCGTGAAATTAATAGAAGAAAAAAAAGAAAGACAACATCTGTAAGAGTAGGGTGTTACACAAGTATGGCGGTTTACGTCAAAGCCTGGACGTATGTCTGCTGAACTTTATTCAGTAAATGCAATTTCAGAATGTTGACACAGAGACACATTACGTGCCAAATTCTACTAGAGGACTGTCTGATTATTGGGGCAAAGCTTACCAATTGTAGGTGCTACCCTTTGGCCTGGTCTTAGCGACTTGTAGCTCAGTATAAGCCAATAGTCCATTATTTTGACTATTGGCTGATACTGACTCAAAGAGTTTGTTGTCTCAACATCGAGAAATTGTCCTCAATCAACAAGAGCAGTGCTTCTTATACTGATTATGTACAGTTTATTCACCATTTTATGAATCAACTCAACGCCTCCTTTCAGGCATTATCTAAGGGTGCATCATTGAAGGATATTTGTATATCAGCAAACCACCTCTTCAAAACTGGATTATCGACTTGACCCCTAGTTTCAAGGTTCTGTCTGCTTAAACAGGTGTCAGTTCATATTTATCTGTCCGTCTGTAGTCATTTCATGATTTCATAAGCTAGCAGTCACACCATAGTAGGGTACAGTATAGTACCTACTGATGCAACATTGAGTGAACCTATGCAGCGGAACATCTAGGTAATGCATTTAGTTTGCCGTACTCCTTCGTTACTGCATATGACTTCCTTTGCAGAAATGCTTAATGGCAAGGATACATCGTTTTAAAGCACAAGTGATGCAGCACCTCAGAGGTCATCGCTAGCAGCACCATCAGCCAATAAATTTATATGAGTTTTATACAGGCTTCAGATCATCGTCATAACTGGAGGTGTTCCCACAGCGCCAGCTATTGATGCAGTGTCTTGTTCCCTATTCAGGGAACTAGGGTTACATGTGTAACCAAGATGATTTACAGGCTATTGAGTACATGAGCACCTCTGCAGTTGTTGTTGCATCTCCGCTATTTTGTTGTTGCTGTTGTTCCGCCTCTTTAGTTTCATTTTCAACTTTGAAACAACAGCCCGGGACAGTGTTGCCACCTTGTGGAACAACTGATTACTGCAAAACAAATTCAATGCATGTGTGCGACCTACACATGCTACAAAAATCGAGTGGTGTGCGTACAGTACGCGCGTACTATTCTGATGACGAAATTTGTGTAACATGCACTGTATGCTGTCCTTTGAGTACACATAAAAAGTGAAGTATACTTTGGGCTTTAAAATCCTTCAACAGATTATTGCCTAGCCTGACACCTATTAGGGCTTATATTAGCTACAGTCTAGGTAATTTTTTAAGAGGTGCAATTCTGGATTTTGAGGCTACCAGAGTTGAAATCATTTTCTCACTCTTGCCTTGAAAATATGTAAATGAAACTCTGAAAAATTCTGTGTAAAATTGTATCAAAATCTGTATCTTTCCCAGCTAACATAGCCATTGGGCCATTAGTAGAACATTGGTGACAAATGGTAACAATAAAAACATGTATATACTAACTAACTAAGTAACTGCTATACTAACTACTCTGTCTTTTATTTATTTAATATTTTCATGTTTATTCAAATTGTATACATAATTGTTAGCAGGCTAAGTAAAGACCAAGTGTGTTTGGGAGAAGGAGTGGAGTGGGGTTGCTGGGTGAGAGAACAGTGGTAATATATAAATATGAACATGAAGTTTTTATTAACGTATACATTTTACATAGAAAGGAAAAACATGTTTGACTTTTGTATATTTGTTTGTTTATTTTTTATGCTGAGATAATTTTTCTGAACTCTATTCCATTCAGATTTTTGACTGTGTTGTCATGGTTAGAAGCCCAGAAAAGATGACAGGTGTGTGGAAAGTTAAAGTCTGTGGAGATCAAAGAGGTTTCATCTGCAAAAGGAAAACAGGTTGGATCAATCATCAAATCATTGCAAAATTTGTATCTGAAATAATGTTAATACAATTATTTTAGTTAAGTATATCACAAATGTACTGGTCACAGCTCAAGCAAATCTCTGCAGTATAATGTTATGACTTGTATTAAAACACAAACCAGTTTATTGGTAAGCAGTAATTGTTAGAGCAGGTCACTGTTCATTTATTTAGCGTATTTCACCTAACGTGTGTAACCTGTATTTAACCTATGTGTTATAGACTCTCAGCTTGCTCGTCCTGTGACAACAGCATTGCCACAACATTTCTTCACACTGGCAAATGATTCATACAAGGTTCAAATGGAGAAAATGAGCTGGGATGAAGCTAGGAGACAGTGTAAAGCAGATGATGCTGACCTTGCCAGTGTGCTTGATTCCATCAGCCAGGCTTACACCATCCTTAGAGTCAGCAAACTTAAGGAGCCTCTGTGGATCGGTCTCAATAGCAACCTGGTACAAAAATTAATTAGAAAATGTGTAATTCCCATGTGCATAAAGTAAGCATTGAAACACATGACAAAATTTAAAAACTTTAATTTTGTAAAGTAAATAAAAAACAAAAAAAGTTTACTACAGTGTCAAGCTAACATAATGTGTGTGTGAGTGTGCTCAAATGGGTAACAAAAATTTTGCCATGTAATAAATGTTCCTGGATCAACATCCATGTGGATCATGGAATAACGCTATGATCAACGCTATGATCAACCAAGATTAGTGCTGGGGTTGGGTCTTCAACAACATTCTTATCCCTGTATAATTTGCCTTATAGGTATAGGTTATGGTTCGGATCAAAAATTAGGGTTAGTGTGAAGACTTTGTTTGACAGGAATGTTGTTCGAGGACCAAAAAAAAGATGTTGAATATCTTCTACATGGCAAAATTGTAGTCACTGCTAGCATGTTAAGACATGTTGGTAATGTCAAGAATCTTAACAATGAAATTTGTTTGCTTTAGACAAGTGGTCGGTACCGCTGGGTGGACAACTGGCTTCTAAGCTACAGTAAATGGGCAACAGGAGAGCCCAAAAATAATTTCGCTTGTGTATATATTGACACGGATGGTGACTGGAAAACTACTGCATGCAGCAACAAGTATTATTCCCTATGCAAGCGATCCACAGGTATTTCATTCAACATTCTGCAAGCAATAAACATGTAAATTATCTTACAAATAATTTACTTTAGTAAATTTAATTTTGTATATTAATTTCATTAATATAATTAATATATTAATAAAATTAATATATTTTTAATATATTTAATTAATTTATTAATATAATTGTATTAATTAATTGTTATAAATGTTAAGCAGAAAATTCAAATTTCAGGCATAATCACATTAAAACAGACACTTGTAGAGTGGTGCTTATAGTTTTTATTAGTTGAATTTCTAGTTGAAGACAAAGTTAATATGCTAACATCCTTCCACTGCCCCGAAGACATTGCTCCCACAGATCCACCTCAGATGCCAGGGAACTGCCCTGATTCAAAGAAGCATAAAACCTGGATCCCTTTTAGAGGACACTGTTATGCCTTCATGGCCTCTAGGTCTGACAACTGGGCTCATGCCACAGTGGAATGCATGAGAATGGGTAAGCATTACTTACTTTGTACAAGAACTTAAGTGTACAAGAGTAAATGTATTTGTTTTAATATAAACATGAGTCACACAATACACAAAAAATGCTGGGTTATTTTATGTATGTATGTATCCCTTCCTTCCTTCCTTCCTTCCAAATGCTAGGTTCAGCCTGTTGGGTCATTTTATTGGGCTATTTTTTATATTTTTACACAGGTGCTAGGTTTTCTGCAGTCTAAAAAAAAATTTATTTATTTATTCACTCACTCACTCAAATGCTGGGTTGCCGCTTGTTGGGTCATTTTATTGGGTTATTTTAAATATGTTTTGTTTTGTTTCTTTACCCTGGTGCTGGGTAGTTTTTTTTTTCTGTAACTCAGCTGCTGGTTCATTTTCAATGTCAGTACAAATGATGAACCCTCTCACACACCTACCTAGTGCTGGGTCAGTGTAACCCAATGTTGGGTAAACTGTGCCAAACTGGTTAAAACTGGATACATCGTCAATAGTCATTTTGTGTTCTGTTCTGAAAGAAAACTTGACTGACGGGAAACTTCCTGAATTAAATTAAGGTTTGTATACAGCAAAATCCCCAGAGTTAAATCAACTCTGCTCAGAGTACATATTGTCCCAATCTACACAGTGTTAAAGTAACACTTACTCAGTGTTTTTGAGTATTTTATGATTGTTAAAGACTGACTTGACATTGAATAAAAAAAATATTGTATACTGTATAGCCTACTGTTCTTGTACTGTATAACACAGATTTTAGGGTGCATTTTTATTATTTAAAATGAAAAACCTTTAATTGGTTAACTGACCCAGCACTGTAAAAAAAAAAAAAAAGCAACCCAGCAAATGGGTTAATGTATAAAACCCGAAAAACTGAGTCAAAATAACCCAGCATGTGTTCTGCCCAATATTTACCCAGTGCCGGGTTGCCAAATAACCCTGAAATGTTTGTTTTTATCCCAGCATTTTTTAGAGTGTAGTATTGCATCTATGTAGAGATACTATTATTGAAAGTATGACTTTGTGTGAGAGTATGACTTTTTCTTCTTAGCAAACACAGTAAGGATATGTTTTGAAAAATGTTCAAGCTTCAAATGTTACATAAACAAAATATTTGATTGCCCACTTTTATTGGACCACTTTTTGTTTTCTTTTTGGTGACTGAAAAAATAAGACTGGTCTCTAATTTCAGGAGCATCACTGGTGAGTATCGAAGACCCAATAGAATCCATGTTTATTAATCGGAATACTGAGATCATGCAGGATGGAATCAAATCATTCTGGATTGGCATGCACCGCAGTCATATGGGTTAGAAATGTATTTAATCCAAGCAAACAATTCTCAAAATGATCTCAGAAGCATCATCTGATGTGTGTGTGTGTGTGTGTGTGTGTGTCACAGGAGAATGGATGTGGATTGATAATATGGTGGTAGATTACACAAACTGGAAACCCCAGATGCCCAGTGATTTTGGTAGCTGTGTGGAAGTCCAGTCAAACACTGGTATGTGGAGTACCACAAACTGCAATTCTTACAAGCCTTACATTTGCAAGACTGCAAAAGGTTAGTTGTCCAAACAAATATACAAATGCAACTCTATTTTTTTACATTCAGTTTAATATTAGAGATTACCTTTCATAAGCATGTACAAATATGTCGTTATATTTCAGTTATACCACCAACAGAGAAACCATCAATACGACGTATGTAATACATCTACATTTCAAGTTCTGCAAGGAGTTAATTGTAATTAATTATAATTAGGGCTGTCAAAGTTTACAAATGAATGCTTTTTTTTATATAATCACACATTTACCTATTACATTTTGTAAAATTCCAATTAATTCTGTTTGATGGCACCAACACAAGTGTCCATATTCAACACACACACATCCTTGTAGGTGAGTTTTTGGGGCTATCACACTGGTCATGAGTGCGATTGTGCCCAGCGTTCCCTGCAATCTTGGTCTACTGATATATATATTAGGGCTGTCTATTTAACAGGTTAATCTAATTAAAATCTTTAATGCAATTAACGCACCCGGCCCACCCAATCGGGTGAATCAATGATTCAATGGTTAATGAAGAAAACTGTTTCGTTCAATCAGCCAAATGGAATGAATTAATAAAAAAAATAAAAATAAATAAATAATTCTAAAGTTTGTCTCAGGTTACGTATGTAACGTCTCGGTTACGCATGGTAACCCTCGTTCCCTGAAGGAGGGAACGGAGGCGTCACGTCGGATGACCAACGAAATTGGGATCTCGCTTAGAGAGACAACCTACTTCGAGTGTAAACTAAAACTGCCAAACTTCAGACTCGCCACCCCGACGCCTTGTATCTCATCTCCGGCGACTTCAATCAAGCGTCCCTCACGAAAACACTTCCTACCTTCACTCAGTATGTGGATTGTTACACCAGAGGTGTCAGGACCCTAGACTTGATGTATTCAAATGTTAAAGGGGCCTACAGCTCTTCAGCCCTCCCCCCACTAGGCAGGCCAGATCACAACCTGATCCATCTCCTTCCAATATACAAACCCCTGGTTCAGAGGCAACCTGCTACTGTCAGGAAGGTGAGGAAATGGTCTGATGAAGCCAATACTGCCCTGCAGGAGTGCTTTGAGTCTACTAACTGGGAGGTGCTCTGTGAGCCACAGGGTGATGACATTGACCAACTGACTGACTGCATCACGGAATATATTAACTTCTGTGTTGACATCTGCATGCCCATGAAAACTATTTATTGCTTCCCTAACAATAAACCCTGGGTCACCAAGTACATTAAAGGTGCTCTCAATGATAAAAAGAGGGCTTTTAGGACGGGTGATAAGGAGGAAGCTAAGAGGGCTCAAAGACTGCTGTCTGTCAAGATAAGGGAGGGAAAGGAAAAGTACAGGAGGAAATTGGAAAATAGCCTGCAACAAAATAACTTGAGGGAGGTGTGGAGAGGCATGAGAACCATCACTGGCTACAAGACCGGCAGCCAGCTGTTGGAGGGCAATATAGACCATGCTAATGAGCTTAATCTTTTCTTCAATAGATTTGATGTGAAGTCTCAAATGCTCCCCTCCTATAACTTCTCTACACATTCACTAGTCCACCCCCCCCCATGTAGTGACCACTACGCCAGATTCCTCTGGAACCATCACCATCTCAGAGGATCAAGTAAGAAGGGAATTGAGCAGGCTTAGCCCCACAAAGGCTGTGGGCCCTGATGGAATCAGTCCAAGAATACTGAAAGCCTGTGCCCCGCAACTTTGTGGTGTGCTACAATACATCTTTAGCCTGAGCCTATATCTGGAGAGGGTCCCAGTGCTATGGAAAACATCTTGCTTAGTGCCGGTACCAAAAGTTGCACGGCCCTGTGTACCCAATGACTACAGGCCAGTAGCGCTGACCTCTCACCTAATGAAAGTTTTTGAGAGACTGATCCTCAGATCCATTCAGCCCCTTGTCAAACCCTTCCTTGATCCGTTACAGTTTGCCTACCAGCCTCAACTTGGAGTGGATGATGCCATCGTCCACCTGCTCCATCGAACCTATACTCACCTAGAGAAACCAGGGAGCTCTGTGAGGTTTATGTTTTTTGACTTCTCTAGTGCCTTTAACACCATCAGGCCCACCCTACTGGAGGAGAAGTTGAAGAACATGCAGGTGTACACTCCTCTGGTCTCTTGGATTATGGACTACCTCACTGGCCGCCCCCAGTACGTCCGCATACAGAACTGTGTCCGACACTGTGATCTGCAGCACCGGTGCTCCTCAGGGGACAGTTCTTTCTCCCTTCCTCTTCACCCTGTATACATCTGATTTTAGTTGTATTCTGCCAAATTCTGCCATCTTCAGAAGTTCTCTGATGACTCTGTGGTTGTAGGATGTATTCAGGGTGGTGACACCTCAGAGTATCAGACGGTAGTGGACTTTTTTTTATTACCTGGTGTGAGCTAAACCACCTACAGCTCAATGTCAGGAAAACAAAGGAACTTGTAGTGGACTTTAGAAAATCCAGGACCCCCGTCACTCCTTTGTCTGTCCATGGTGAGGAAGTGGAGATTGTTGCAGATTACAAATACCTGGGAGTCCATATAGACAACAAACTGGACTGGACATCAAATTCAACAGCACTCTTCAAGAAAGGTCAAAGCAGGCTGTATTTTCTGAGGAGGCTCAAGTCTTTTAACATCTGCAACACTATGCTGCAGATGTTCTATGAGTCTGTGGTGTCTAGCGTCATTTTCTATGCGGTGGTCTGTTGGGGAAGTAGTATGAAGGTGGCAGACAGAAATAAACTGGACAAACTAATTAGGAGGGCTGGCTCTGTACTTGGCATGGAGCTGGACCCTGTTCACGTTGTGGCTGAGAGAAGGATGTTGTCAAAACTTTACTCAATCCTGGACAATCCTTCTCACCCACTACACAGTGTGCTGGTCGACCAGAGAAGCACATTCAGCCAGAGACTGATTACTGCCAAGTGTTCCGCTGAGCGCTTCAGAAGATCCTTTATCCCTGTGGCCACCAGGCTGTACAACTCCTCTCTATAAGTGCTGGAACATTTTTGAGTAATGCATGTACAATACATGTTCATTTCATATGCAATAAGGGACTTTTCTTGTGCGATGCAATTTATTATTATTATTACTGCCTATTTATTAATACTAAAATTAGTGTGCAATGCATACTATATAACTACTGTACTTAATTACCATTACCATACTGGACTTATTATATTCCACATTTGTCATTCCATTTCACTTTAATTAATTCCATATTAGATCTAAACTACCATTTTCACTGGTATAGTTTTATATTATTATTTGTATGTTTTACTTATTCATTTTTAATTTTATTGATATATAGGTATATATTTATTCATTTTATTATATTTTTTCTTTCTTTCATTTCTTTCTTTCTTTCTTGAGAGCAATTGTAACATGGAAAGCAATTTCCCTCTGGGATTAATAAAGTTTTTTTAATCTTGAATCTTGAATCTCATTCAAACACATTGCAACATCATGACTGGTCCACGGTCAGCTAAGTAATTGAATTATAATTCATTACATTTATATAGCACTTTTCTTGGCACTCAAAGCGCTTTACATTATCAGGGGGTATCTCCTCATCCACCACCAACACATATTCAAATAACAAAACAAACCAATAAAACATTTCAATCATGGGGTTGAGCACAGAAACTAGCCTCATTGTGTACTGTATGATGGTCACAAACTCCGATTTTTTTAGCTTCAGACTTTGATTCCACCCAGTCGGAGGATATCAAACATGTTTGATATTTTCCGCTGATTTTAGAACACATATTGTTTTCATTTGTCATACATCTACCAGCAACAATGTGCACGTTTCTGGATGAGTTTGTTGTGATCTGAAGGAATTTAAAATCTGGTAGTGTGTGATCCTCAGTCATTTAGTGTATGATGCCCAGTTTTCCTTTGTGACTATCTACAAAGTCGGTAAGTGTATGATGCCTGGCTGGTGTTTTTAAGTCGTGTATAGTGTATTCCAGCTTTTAATCGTTTTATTTTATTTTTTCCTGGACAGATATGACAGGTTTCTGATGTCTCCTTCTTTGTACAGATGGCATGCCTCTTTCATCTTTGGGCATAAACTATAGTTATGTCTAGATTGTGTCGTCTTAAAGTTGTGAAAATAAGTTAATTATTTTATAAAGATTAACTTAAAGTGACAACCATCAGTTAATATTTAAAGTCTGTTGTTATGAAGTATTTAAATAGACATTCAATGTGGAAGAGCTTAAAGGGAGCACAATGAGCTTAATTGGAGCAGCAACAATTTTTAATTAATAAATATAAGATGAAATTTAAAGGACAATATTTAGCTAAATAAATATTCTAGGTCATGTATTAAGTTTATACATAATGTTATATGAAAAACTATTATATGGAGCTTATAATATGACAAAACTAATTGAATTTGCATTGTGTAAATTTGAATTATTGACAAGTGTCATTTAACAAAACTGAATATTATGTGGCATTTAACATAATTCTGAATTTGATTTTTTTTTTTTTTACTTGAATATTAAACATTTTAAATGTAACACAACTGAATATATTTATGGCAGATATGGCAGATTCCATACTATTATTGACAATATCTATGAAATTATACTTTTTCTTATTGATGTCACAATGAAGCTGTGTGATTTTCATAGTAATACACCCTTTAAGCTCACCTTACAATAATATGAAGTCTTTAATAATTACAGCAGTGTAAAACCACAGACCATCAATACATTTTAAATTTATAATATTATGGATTTAAAAGTACAAGCCAGTAATGCCTGTGAAGTAATATATTAGTGTAGCACACAATCTTATACAGCTAGTAAGCTAACTATGCTCTGTAGCATTTGTGTTATGTTGCTAAAACTATATTTTGGATCTAACTGTAATTATTTCCCATATCCAAGTTCTGGGTTATGATATGCAAAAGTCTAAACAGTAATATCTTAATTTTGCAACTCACAAAATGAAGGCTTAAACATCTAAAAAAAAATTGCACATTTAAGGGGCTACTCTTAACAATTTTCAATATATATTAATTTTATCATTATTATATCAAATCTATGACACTTATTGGCTTCTCACTACATCTAAAACAGTGTGTCCACAGCAGGGCCGTAGCTAGGGAATTCTGGGGCCCCTGAAAAAATATTGATGTGGGCCCCCA